CCAACTCACCAATGCAAACCAAGTGCTTCCTCCTAAGAAACTGTGACTGAACAACTCGGCGTCCTGTAATAGCTTGGTACAGTATACGTTGCAAAAATCATACAAAACTGCTGACTGCCCAAATATTCCAGATTTACGTCATTCATATGATACAYGGCAGGGCAGGGAAATTTGACAMARGCAACAAAAATGATCTGCATATTAAATGATCTGCACATTAGAATATATATGGTGAAATTTCATAAGGAGYCTCTTCGCTTCTTTATTTAAGAAAATTCAAAATATCGGAAACATTATTGCTGGGTGATTTGAGAAAATGCGACTAGCCAATCAGCACAAAGCTGACAAGCTRATGTTGTAAACATAACCRCCCGACGGGAGGAATTTGCACAGCAAAACTCGACCCAGTGGAGTTGGCTGCCTGCCATTTTATMCTATCRGAAAAATCAAAGCTKAAACGCAAAGAGAAATTGAAATCTTTATAAAATGGCTTTTATTTTAAATAATGTCAATCAAATATTTATCGTTATAGAATTTTATCTTAAAAATGAAGTAACAAATAAATTTTTCTTTAATACCAAGAGACTCCCCTCCCTGATAAAAATAATTGGTGTGTGTTCTACGCGGGTTCTCCATTACATGCGAAGCAATGGCCGACTTCACGAAGACTTCAGAAGGTCGTTGAAGCGACGTTCAAGTCCAAAGTATCTTAGGAGGAACCATTGCGAATCCTTTTTCTTAGCTCTTGTTTCCTCTAAGCTGTGAGGTATATACAACATCACTGGAAGAGCTAGAGCAGGTTAGCTCCAGGTATTCCAATAGAGTTAAAGCGCGTTTGTTATTTTTGGTACAAACAACTGTCGTAGTTCATCCTTTGTCGCATTTTCGGCAATAAGCCGCAAGCATGACGATACAACGGGTTGACGTTATGTAACAGGTCGGTTACACATTTACTAGCTTTGACCTTACAACGAGAGCTAGAACGGTGACTGGGGTTTTTCGTGTAATGTCTTGATAGCGACTAAAGTTCGTCTAAATTCCCATCTGAAAAACACGTGTGGAGTATTTAAGGASGAAAATGTTTCATATCAGCATTCAATTCTTAAAGGTTTAATTCTGTAATCATTTTGTTTCCGGGGGTCCCGGGGGGGGGGGGTACTCCCATATATTTGCTATTCGGGGACGTTATACATTTCACCCGAAATTGTCTTAAACATGCTCTACAATTGAGATAAAAGACCGATATAATTTTTTTTTGTGTCTTGGACAGGGTAATATTTTCATAAGAAATACCGTAGAAATAGTAGAAATACCGTTTCACTGTAACAGGATTAACGTGTTATCAAAAACTTCTTATTGTCTTTGATGGATGTCAGTGTCATTGCASTTTTGATTTATATCAACCATGAAAAATCAGTATAGAYCAAAAGAAAATAATGATTAAAAGTTCGATACCATCAACTAAACCCGTGACCCGTGGTCTTAATACCTGTAGGCCAAGTTCCATTTATTTTTTTGTTTACAGTTTGAGAACTACTTAGTATACATGTAATCTATCGGTAATGACATTAACTAGCTATCATAGCCACAGCTATTCGTTTTACTTCGTCGAATTACTCTTTCCAAGAGGGGATCTTAGGGGGTGGGGGAAGGGGAAGGGGGATGGTTTAGGGGKACCTGTTCCTAACAACCCCCTTCCCCCATGGGAAAGTCCTATTCAGACGGACAGACAGACTAATGTCTAGAACCTACCCTAGATTTTACTATATGTGCTACTTGCCGAAGCTGGAGTAATTCAGCGGGTATTGACGTTGTCATTTGAAGATTTGAGTGAAGACGGGGACACATTTCTATGGTGGCTGATAAGGGACATGCCAGAACAAAAAATTCCATGTTATTTATCGCGCAATAAGTTAAAATTTTATCACGCGATAACTCAATTTATCGCGCGATAGCACAATTTATCGCGCGATTAAAAACTTATTGCGAGTTTTTTAGACTACTTCTAGAACTTTAACATCCAGAAATCGTTATCATTTTAGAAAAAAAAGCTAAAAAATGCGGAAATATTAAACTTCTACTGAGCCTGTGCATTTGCCACAATTGAAAGAATTTTGATCCCACACGTAACAACGGCTAGTCTTTGCTATAGAGTGCACGTCACATAAGCATATGTAATGCTAAAGAAMATTTAGTTATCAACTAACTAAGAATTCAACAAAGCATAAAGGCAATGCCAATTATTTAAATTCCTTTGTAGCATTGTTCTCAATTCTTAGTTAGTTGATAACTAAATCTTATTTAGCACTACATAGTTAAGAATTGTTTCATGCTTATGTGACTTGCACTCTACTGCATGTCTGCACATTGATTCAAAGTGATTTAAAACCTAGCAAAGGTCTATGATGCGACATTAAAACTGAGACATTTGCTAGTGTTGGTTTGCGATAAAGCGCTGACTTCAGTTCTTTATATCTGATATAGAACTGATTAATAAAACATCAGTTCTATATATCTGATATAGAACTGATTAATAAAACATTAGTGCTTTATCGGGATATAAAGGCCCATCATGTGACCCAATAGTTCGATGCTCATTGGACTAATAGCTCATGAATTATTAATGAGTTCTAGAAGTGATTTTCACAGCTTCATTGATTTATTTATGGATGTGCTTAATGCCAAATATTCCTATAAA